GACCGGTGACGGCGACTTCCGATGGCCGCCGCTGCTGCTTCTCCGATGGCCGTCACCGCTGCTTCTCCGATGGCCGCTGTCGCTGCTTCTTCGATAGCCGCTGCCGCTGCTTCTCCGATGGCCGCCGCCGCTGCTTCTTATAGCAACTACATCACGAATTTGAAGAAACTCTTCAAATACCTTTCTTCATGTTTCATGCAAGTAAGGAATTATATTTTGATGGTGGTTTCGTACTCGATTTCGCCAACAACTTAATTAATTGAAGTACTTATTAGGGATTTTAATGAAGTATTATGATTTATTTCGAGAGTTTACATTGATTATGATTGCTGAATGTTGTTGTTGTTGTTGTTGATGAATTATTAGGGCTGTAGTGGTAGTAGGACCAGTGTTACCAGAATGCATTTTGTAGTGAAAAAACACTAAACAACTCATTGGAGGTAAATTGGTCATTTTAACCAGTTCTATCATGTCCTGTCCTGTCTTACCAAACGCTGAACAGCTGTCCTGTCTTGTCCTTTCCTGTCCTGTCTTGTCCTGTCCAGTCCTGTCCAGTCCTGTCTGCGCACCAAACGCACCCTTAGGGAATAAGGAATTTGCTTGATAAGATAGTATAGAATATTTCGGTCTAGACCGGGTTCAGCAAGAACCGGGATTTAAAATCCAAGTCCGGGAAAGAAACCTAAAATCGCTTCCTCCTGCCGCCCTAACCCGCCGGTGCTCTCTCCTCATCGCCGGTAATCTCTCCTCCTCGCCGTCCCGCTTGAACCGGTACTCTCTCCTCCTCTTCGCCGCCTTCTCTCATCACTCAGCAGGTAAGACTTCCCTTTCCCCTTTTCTTGAATGTGCCTTATTCCAACAGGTACTGATATTTGAATGTGCTCTCTCCTCCTCTTGCATGTTCGTTTTTGTTAAAAACCTAGTAGTTTATCTCTCTTGATAGTTAGTAATCGTGGTCTAGATGTTTTAAGCCTACATCTTCAGTGAATTTTGTGGCTTGGAGACTTGTACAGCAGAAAGTTTGATTCACTTGACTGCTTTTCATTCCCACCATTTTCAAATCTGTTAATCTCCTTCAAGCTCCTAAACTCGACAGACCCTGTATGCGTTGTATAATTTTGATTTCGTGAATAGTTTTGTTCGAAGTGTTCTTGGTGAAACTTTTCATCATCTAAATTTGGTTCATCCTTTTTAGTTGTTTTTGGTTAATTTTTTGTTGTGTATGTTTTTACATGTTCAAATTGACATGTTTTGGATGAACAAGTTTGATTGTTAAATATGTATTTTGGATTAACATGTTTGTTGATTAAATATGCATTTTGGATGAACAGGTTTGATTGTTAAATATGTATTTTAGATTAATAGGTTTGTTGGTTAAATAGGTAGTTTTGAGAAAATGCAAGAGATTTGGTGACTAAAATAATTACAAGGGGGGAAAAAGACTTGTTTCGATAACAAAGAAGCTATGCGATATACCAAGTACTGTGCTGATTATTGAGCTTCTCAGTTTGGAGTTTATACAGTCTCCGTCTATAAATTGGTACTTTCTTCGTCTCTATTTTTGATGGATTTCTTTTGATTTTAGGACGCACTACTCATTGTTCATGTGCATTTCCTGGTGCACACCATGTGTTTGTAATTATGCCTCCAAGAATTTGTTCCTTGTTTTCCAAAGGATTTGAACTCATATGGCAAGAAAGAGTAATCACCTGCACATGATTATGGTTGCTTCTTGGATCAACTTGAATTATCATATACATTTCAGACTTGAAAAAAAGTTTGATTTTTTGAGGGAAGAGGCAAAGGCATGTTAAGTCAGCAAATTTACTAATCGTTTAGGGATTCAAATAAGCGGTTTTCTTACAGGGCTGGAAGAAGTCAATCTGTTATTGAAACTGAAGCACTGAATAACTGAACAAATAAATCCTGACTTATGGCAAGGCAGTGAAGGGTTCAGTTCCTTTGAGAACGAAAGTCTTAATGAGAAGGGTAGGACTGGATCAATCCTAATCGAGAGAACCACTAGATCAACATAATGAGATACACTAGATCAATTATTTTCTAACACGATCCTTCATCATGCAGTGAAAGCACTTCTCACCTTAACTCCTTTTCTAACACGATCCTTCATCATGCAGTGAAACCATGTTCGTTCTAAAATTAATGGGGGATACATCTTTTGCACAACGAGTAACCGTAAAAATACATCTTTTATGTCTTTTCTGATGGGAAATTTTACTATTTGGATAGGTCTAATCCAGTGTATATCTACACAATGTGGACATACTTCAAAAATGTGTTGCATACATGGATAATACTACATGTTTTAAGTTGTTGGTTGCTTGCATATTTAGCTCTTTTGTCATAGTATTGTGATCTGTTGGTTTCAGGCTCTGTTGAAGATGCTGAAGTCATTAGTTTTGAAAGCTAGTTCTAAACATAACGTTCTCTATCTAATCCAATTCAAACAACAGGTACTATTACAAATCCTTTGTTCCCCAACAAATTAAGTGGCACACTTTTTAATAAAAATGTATGATCATTATCATGTCCACCCCCAAGAGAAGGAAAAATAAAGGAACTACGGATCAAAAACAAAGTAACTAATTGTAAGCAACGATTACTAGTGGGAAGAAAAGGTTAATTAGGAATGAAAACTTCCCAAAAATGGAAGCATTGCATGTTTTTGGGACCGAAGGAGTGTCATTTTCAGTGTAACAGCCTTTTTTTAAAATAAATTCTTATATGTTTGCTACACTGCAGCGAGGATTGCACAATAGAAATAAGATGGCAATGGAATATATTGCAAAAGGGTGGAATGCGTTGAAGGAGGTTGATAGGGTGATTGACTACTGCGAACCTAGAGATAAACGTCTCATTCCTCACCTTAAGGTAATTGATTATGTCGTATCTTTGAAAATAAACAAAGACAAGTTTCTTGGATTAATCTGAATATCTTTTACCAAGCTTCTTCTGTTTATCTATCTAGTTATTGTAACCACTATTCTTTTTGTATTCCTTGCTATATATTTCATTGTACGCCCAACATCTTAAGCTATTTATTTCACAACTACTTGCTTCTGGTTGGTGTTTATTCTTCATATTTTCCATCTACTGTATACTTGTTCTAAACAAGTATGTATGCCCCATTACTTCTTTAGCTACCTGAGGTGGTATTATTTAAATCTGTTTATATGATACTTCCAAAAGTGAGTGTATTAATTAATATTTGGATATCTTACTTCAACTGACACCTTTTTCTCTCTTACTTACTTCCTTATTGGTTATATGTTCTCCACCTTAGACCGCAAAGGATAATTTTGAAATGGCTCTGGAAGTTGATAATTCAAACACCCATGCCAGATATTGGTTATCCAGACTGCACCTGAAATACCATGTGCCTGGGCAATGTAAAGCTATGTAAGACCTTGTATATCTCAAATGTGAATATTGCCATGAAAATGTTCCTTAATCTACGACTATCTCTGTATTCCTTCTACTGCCTGCTCATTTTTTAATCAAACATGCCTCTTTTTTCTTGATTTTGTAACAGAGGAGCTGCTTTATTGGTGGAAGCGGCAGATATGGGCGATGCAGATGCTCAATATGAATTGGGTCGTAATTTAAGAATTGAGGTTAGGCTCTAGATTTTATGTTGTTCTTTTGTAAATGCTGATTGATATATACAACTTCTCTTTGGCTGGATAAATGAAAAACCAAACCGAACGAACCCAGAATATCCCCCCGGGGGTGAAGGTGGGGAAGATGTATGCATACCTGACCTCTACCCTAAATAGTAGAGCGGATGTTTCCGTGGCAACCCCAACTAGTGAAAATTGTGTGGAAGGGGGAAATGGATATGCTAAAAAAATGAAAAGCTAGATAAGAGTAAAACAATAACAACAAAATAGAAAGAGAGAGAAATTTGCAAATTTTTTAGAAACTAGATACGAGTAAGCAATAATAATATAAATAGAAGCAAGTACAGGTTAAACAAAACTAAAGGAAACAACACACCCCTATGTAACTCAGGTTTCTGCTAATCCTAACTACTGATCACCAACCCTATCAGAGTTCACGTCCTTAGACATACCTAAAGCCGCCATATTCAATCTTGGTTGCTCATGCCACGTAGGCCTCTAAACGAACCAAATGTTCAACGAACCATTCGTGAACCGTTTGGCAGGAAGTTCGTTTATTTAATAAATGAACGAACATGAACAAGTTCTTTTTGTTCGTTTAGATAAACAAACGAACAGGAACAAAGGTTTCGTTCGTTCATCTACGTTCGTGAACGTTCGTTCATTTATGTTCGTTTACGTTCATGAATGTTCATTCATTTATGTTTGTTTACGTTCGTTTATTTATGTTCGTTTAATATGTAAATATATTTATATAAACTTTTATTTGCATATAAGGAATTTTTAAATCTTGAAACTTGGCCCATAAAGAGTCGAAGACGTTTTTGGGCTAATCCAACGTGGACCTTTATTTAAACTTAGTCCATTACTGAATTTATGTTCGTTTAAGTTTGTTCATTTATGTTCATTCATTTACGTTCGTTTAGCATCTTAACGAACACGAACACGCCTACTTTCTAAATGAACGGACAAGAACACCTAAAACTTGTTCGTTTAAGGTTCATGTTGGTTCGGTTGTGCGGTTAACTTAAACGAACGAACATGAACAAAACCCGTCCGTGTTCATTTGGTTCGTATACAGGCCAAATACCACGTCCTCCTCGGCCTACGTTCATTCGGTTCGTATACAGGCCAAATGCCACGTCCTCCTCGGCCTACCCCTCCTCGCTTTCCTCAATCGTCACACATTCTACTCTCCTCACTGGAGTCGCCATCCCTCAGAAATGTTTTAATTATGACCGAGATAACACAGCTGGCTAACAGTCACTAAACAATCATCAGAGTGAAAATGCTAATAGAGGAGCTACGATTATCAACAATGGCAAATGATCTACCAAATGAAACCATACTTCTACATGCCATGCAAAAATTCCTTCTTAAAGAAGGTCAAGTTCCTTAGGGTACATACTCTCCAAGTAGCATCTCATATTTGGGCTCCTTGGCAGGCCAAGAAATATTCCCCACAGACCATGTCTGCTATGTTAAACTAGTGAATATAGGACATACTAAATCAACAATATATAAATGGGTTAAAATCGAATCCACACTTGGCAAATCAAATTGGTTAACATTTCAACACTAATCGAATCAAATAAACATTTAACAATTCGAATCAGTTAAAATCAACACTTAACAAATAGCAAATAACAATTAATAATTAACAAATCAACACTTACAAAATAGAATACGTTTAAATTTTCAATCCTAAAGTCGAAATTGCATAACCTGATTCGAAAATCAAAACCCTAATGTGAGAGGAGAAGGTCGTGATTCTTGAGGTGTGAGCGAAGCAGGTTGGACTTCATGAGCGAGCACAGGTCGCCGAACGCCGGTCGCAGCAGGCAGTGTCGGTTTTGTGTATGATAAATGGATTCACCATTTCATCAATTACATTACATCAACAATAGGCTTATGATGCTTCAGTGAGGACCTTTATTAAAGTCAAGCCCTAAACCTGAATGCTATTCTTCTGGTTTTATGTATGATAAATCAATGAAGGTGGATGTTATATCTGGGAATTGGTTGACCCACACGAGTCATGTGATAGAAACCAACATTATGATTCCAATATTTTTAGTATCCTTAGCATCATTAAGGTGGTACAGATCCAACTTATCCAACTCGTTATTCCATTAATTTTATCAGTTTAAGGTTTTAGTAGTGATTCGCGGAAATTGTTGCCAGTTGGAAGCTGGCATAAGTAGAGTATTGCTGTGACACCTTGTTTTTTTAAGAAGTGCTACAGAGTAAAAAATATATCCAGATCGGTACCGTCGGTTTTGCTTCTTTCTTTCAAGTTTTCCCGAAACTGACTTACTCGGGCAACCTTCCGGCCGCCCAACGACCAGTTCTTCCCCTTTTGGGTGTTTGTGCAGGCTAACATGCAGTGTTGTGCTGATTTTCCGATATCTTTGCTTTTGTTGGGTTCTTTTCCCGCTGTCCTAAATTGCCTCTAATACATTCTTCATTTTACTTGCTACTAATAGAAATGTCTTTTATGAAGAGTTAATTGCTTGAAAAACCATCAAACCGTGGTTCTAAATCTACTTTTAATCCATGAACTTGAAAAAGCCATATACAAATCCATGAAGTTTATGATCTTCTGTTTTAACCGGAAAACATCCTTGAAGTTCTATTTTCATTTATGCCTGCCATACTACTATTTGCAGATGTCGCTCTTTCATCATCTTATCTTCTCTCCCCCTTTTAACTAGTTTGCGAATATTCAGTGGAACTTGAAATTTCCATAAACTAATTCATGCACAGAATGAAGGTGTTGACACGGATCAACAAGCTTTTTATTATTTGGAGAAGGCAGCGGACCAGGTATGTCACTAAAGACAATAATTGTTAGTGATGATTTTCAGGTTTTTGCCGGAACTTATTTGGGCTTGCCATGTATATATTTTAGCTGCAACCGGATGCCCTCTACCTTCTAGGAGCTGTCTATTTGACAGGCGACTGTGTTAAGAAAGATATTGCCTCAGCGTTGTGGTGTTTTCATAGAGCTTCAGAGAAGGTAAAGTAATTCTTAGTTTTGCTCCTGAAGGGTGGTTCATTCTGATTGTCAAACCTCTTATTATTTATATTGAAAACTATATGCAGTTATTACAAACTCAACACTGTAGGCTACAAAATTTGACTACGGGTTTCAGATTATTCTCAAAGTTTCAAAGAATCACGTCCAATTTTGAGGTTGTAAAAATGCAACCGTTTTTACCTCAAATGTCAAAGCATACATCTTCTTTAGACTGCGACGGCTACTAACCTTAAAGATTTGAATTTCTTTTACGGACTAGTCATGTTTACATTTATAAGTTGATAAACCTACCATGTAGGTAAAGATCAATGAACCTTGTGGGTTTTCAGTATGAAAAATCCATCTCGAGTTGACTTGAAACTTTGTAATTTTTCATACATGCAGGGTCATGCCGGGGCGGCAGTAGCCTGTGGATCCCTTCTTCTTAGAGGTATCACATTGAATTTCAATTTGAGCCAAAATTTCCGTTATCTTTAGATTATTAGTACCAAAACCAATGGTATACAAACCAAATATACCAATATTAGGCCAAAAAAAGGACCTCAATTTAATATATCCCTTCTTTCTTCTGTCAAAATCCTTACTTTTATCCAAAAATTTACTCGATCTCTCTTTGTTCTCATCCAGGCATGTCCTTTGTGTGTGTGTTGGCCTCATTAGTGCTAATTTATGCAAGAAAATATCCAAATTTCATTATGGTCATTTAACATTATCATCTTTTGAGTCTCATTCGTATTATGTAAGAAATTAAGATGTCAAAGTGGGTCCCATCTACTTGAACTTTGTCCACTGGTTAGCTCAATGGCATGTTTTTTTTTTCTTGATTTGCTGTCAGGCTATGAACCTCCCGCATCTATAACAAAGTTCAATCTAAAGAACGGGCTTCCGAGTAGGAAGCCAAGGAAGAAAACAAGCGAACCCAAGCCTAATCCAATTGAATTGGCAAGAGAGCAATTTGAGAATGCTGCAAAATTAGGAAATGATCTTGGATTTAGATGGTTAAAAAGAATCGAGGAGGAAGAGAAGCGTATCCTGGCTGCATAAAAGACGGTAGAGATACATATCAGACCTTATACATGCTACAGATAAAAATGGGCACAATCTACAGGTACCGTCTTTGCTCATTATGAACATTACTTCTTGCTTAATACATGTACCTTATGCATAAACACAACTCTGCCTATTTAGCATATTATATGCTACTTTTAACTGTTTGCCACCCAGTGCTTTTAAATATAGTAGATGGATTTGTCCAAAATCCCAGTTTACTTTTTGGATCTTTATTTATTAAGATATGCATGTCTGTTATAAAAAATTGAAACCATTGTATTATAATAGGGGATTGAAAGATTAAAAAAAACACTAGGATCTGTAGAGGCCACATGATGATGGTTCCAGCCTGCAATACTAGGGGTAGAGAATTTTAAAAGTCCCTTTCTAAGATTTCTTTTATGCTCTTTTGCTCTTATACAATTTCATTTTTTATTCACAATCAACTTCCTGGAAGCAACAACAAACAATCATGCATATATTATTTAACTCATTAGAAGGGATCTTTATGTTTTCAACTTAATTTTAAAACCTTAAATCTAACAGAATTGGTTTTATTTGGATCGGTATAGTTATTGCTTCTGGGGACGTTGTTTTCGTTGTGGTTGAAAGATCTTTATTTCATACGAAACAGTTACCTGGAAAATAAAGAATGAAAGACAAATACTGTTTTGCCTAAATTTGTAGTCTTGGCATGAGTATGCGGGTCAGCTCGTCTGTAGAACAGCTCTTCAAATCGTAGTGGCTGGCCTTGCGGGATTCAAACTAGTGACCTCTGAGAAGGAACCCTAAAGGTCTAAACCTTATTGTCAGTTGAGCTAACCCACAAAAGTAAGGTTAGGTTGGATTTTAAGATATTTCTTTATTTGGTTTTGGTTTGACCCAAGTATCGATGGTGAAAACATTTGCATAGTCAAAAGCAGCAAGAGGGTAAGAAGTTAGATTAGGCGATTAAGCACTTTGAAAATGACAATCCATCTGCATTTGACTTTGCATATTGCTTATGGCACGATCTATTCAATTCAATTTCTTTTAAATGTCAGATTCATTCTAAATCGGATGAACCATCATACATCATACCATAAGATTGAGTCGGTTCATATTTTAAAACCCGTTTGAAAATTTCACCAAATAACGATATGCTTCAATTGTTCGACATGGTACTCTAACGAGTCACCGACAAACAAATGAACCAACCACATCTAATATTAGCAGCTAACTTTATCAAAATTTATGCATATAATGGCATTTGGCTAATATAATTAAGGGGTTGTTTACTACTATATGTTTACCGTATCTTACTGGTAAGAGATGATGTTTACCAATTCCCTCTTATCGTCCATGATCTTAGCCGAGTTGGATTCTTACTTGGTCAAATGATCAGTGCTAACTCATACTGCACCCTTACCCGCTTAGCAGTTATCCAATTTATGTTGGTAAATAACCTCTAAATCTGTAAAAAGACAAAATCAAATCACATCGGCCCCGTTATCAAAATCGAAACGAAAAAACAACCAAAATAACAAGTACCTCTACTTTAAATTTATAGATTGATATATGTATAAAAGAATTGAATTAAAGTAGAAATTAAACGTGTTCCCGTAAATTACGAGAATGTGTCTAGTGTAGGGATTTAAAATAAATGGATAGTTGAGAGAATAACACATAATGAGAGAAATTCCATCAAGTGGTTGCACCAACATTACAACTATCATCATTAATACATTTGGTCTCTTGGGGTTAGCCAAAATGGTGAAACCTTGTTGAACCCAGAGTTGGAACCACCCTGACCCTGGTCCGTCCCATCACAAGTATGTTGATATTGATTAGAATACAATCAAGTAGTTGGGGTTGGGCACAACATAATGGAGGAACATACCCAAAAAACCAGACCATCCAGGGGTCCATGCCTCTTTATCTCTATCTCCTATTAAATAAAGGGCTGCCTTCAATACGTTTTCTATTTCTAAGTTCTTGTTTGATCCTAGTAATTTGCGTATTTGACTGAAAAGTTGATTGTCGACAAGCTCTACATAGAACCTGTCTTCAAGTACGCGAATATGATGAGACATTTTTAATTAACTCGGAAAATGTACAGAACCCATGAGCTGTCTTGTGTGAAATCAGTCGTTGATTGTTTTGGCTGTGTACTAAATTTGAAACCATCAGTTGACCAAACATTAATAATATTTTTATTTGAAAGATAAATAATAAATTCTCAAATTATATATATATCGTAATAAGTGAAGTAATATTAATTAAAAAATGCAAAAAAAAAAAAAAAAAGAATGGGTCCATGAAAACCAACATTTTCTGGTTTTTAGTTCCTTTTTACAGCTTTAATCATTGTTATACGAATAAAAAGTTAAAATAAGAAAAAAGAATATCAGATGTTTTAAACAGTTAAAAATTGTTGATTGGACACAGGCTTTACATGCAATTGCAGCAAAACACCAGAGTTTAAATATAAGAAAATTTAATCATTTGACAAATTGCATGATAAAAGACTGTATTCTAACTTGATTTCTATTTTAAGTAAAATATTTTCAAAACTATTGCTTGGTATTTAAGATGTAAAGTTTTAAACATTTAAGTACTCAGATAACCGGTTGAAGACTAAATTTAGATTAAAAAAAGACTAATTTTAGATTAAAAAAATTATGTCACTAACCACGTCAACTAATATATTGAGTTGGATACCACGTCAACATGATAATCAGTTAATGCTTCAACCAGTTACTTGAGTACTTAAATGTATAAAACTTTACATCTTATGTACCAAAATGAAAGTTTTGAAAGTACGTTACCCAAAATAAGAATCAAGTTAAAATACGTTATTTTTTTATACTTAATTATTTTACTCGTCTTTAACTAACTAAGTTTTAAAATTAATCATTTTATTTGTGAAATTCATACATACAAAACTTTTATACAAAGTTATTTACTGATTCAGAAGTTATTCTTCTTGCTCTACTCTACAGTCTACAACAAGCTTTGACCAACATCTGCTTGTTTTCTTATTTGAATCTATTTTTTCACAAATAAAGTGATTTTTTCTCAAAATTATTTTTTTAAATTTATTTTTGTACATATTCAAGATATTTAGATTACAATATATAAATAAAAAATAAAGTACATTTTTATCATTTTCAAATGTAAACCAAATACCTAAATATTTAAGATATTATATTTAAAGTAACAAGTTTTAAAAATATATTAGACAAAGTTGGATTTTGAATCCATAATTTTTAAATTTACCTTTTAAAAAGCTTCAATCAATGTAGCAGAATATTAAAAATGCAATATATTCAATCAGTGTCCAATGCATTAAACCTGATCTTTTATGGATAAAAAGCTTTTATAAAAATAAAAAAAAAAGTGTATGGAGGTCACATTATTCCTATGCTTTCAATCATAGGTGTAGGAGTTGGTGGGTCAGCTCTCACTTTCATACAACACAACACATCTTATTAAAATAAAAATGACACAACTCTATCTTAATACACACTAAATTGTTAAAACATATAAAATACTTAACATTAATTTTGTTTTGTAACTATTAATTCAATTCGATGAGATTCTGAAAATTAATGGCACGAAAGGTTATGGTTATGGTTTTAGTTTTAGTTTTGAACTTATCAAAATTAACATTTTCAACCATGTGGTTTCATGATTGTTTCCAAATTTATTCAATCCCTCCATTTTTTTTTTCATGTTGTCAAAAAGATAAGTTTGAAATTTTAACCCATTTTGTGCTTTTAATATTCAATTTTTTATTTTATCTATGATTGATTGTTTGTATCAATTTTGTATGCTTCTCAATTCTTCAAGTCTTTTTAAAAACAACAACCGCCCATACACTTTGAAAAGATTTTTTAAGGATGTTTTCGGTGTTCGATAAGGTAGGACTTAACATAATAAAACAAAACAATTGTTCAACATTTGGTACAAACATAATTAAACAAAACATAACAAGTAAAATGACTAATTTACCTTCTAATAACTTGTTATTTTTATTAATTATGTAATTTATTAAGTTATAGTAAAATAATTATTTTTATACAAATATATTATCACTTTTCTACATTACTTTTCACTATCAATATATAATAAGTTACATTAATTAATAAAAATATAAAAATAATATTTTGAAGACAGTAAAATAAAGTTTAAAAATCACCAAAAATACAATAAATAAAATTTTAAAAATGTAAAAAGAAAATCTATTTTATGTTTTAGAAGTGAATTAAGTTTATTATAAAGTTATATTGGTAAAATACAAGTCTGTTCCACCATGTTCCACGGGATAAGGGTGAAAAAAACCTATTCTACTATGTTCCTTCTGTTTTATATAAAAGTTCTGTTAAACATAGAACAATGATCTCCGTTATGTTCTATTATATCATATCCAATGTACCAAATGCATCTTAAAAACTCAAGTTTTATTGTCAGTTGAGATAATCCTACAAAGAAATGGATACAATAAGATTGAGTTTGTTAAACCATTGTTATTTTAAAATATTATAAGTGTACTCACACAATACAGCGAGATTATCTTTGTCAATGTTATAATACAATTTTTGCGGTTTTGGGAAACGATAATGTTTTTATTTGTTAATAAATATAATTTTGAGAAAAAATTATATTGATATTAATATCAAATTAACTATTTAAAAGTCGTCTTTTTTAATAATTTATTTAATTAATTTTTTTACTATAATTTGATTTTAAATTTAATAATGGATTAATTTATTTTTGATTTAATAATATAATTTTTTATAAAGATGATAATTAGTTATTCTATAAAATTCAATAATTATCTTAATTATATTTTAGATTTTTATATTTAAAATTAAATGTTTATTATGTATTTAATTATATTTATCTACAACTAGCTACAAATTCGAACATGAAGTTTTAATAAGTCGTCCTTACGCATTGGATTTTAAGTAACATTCATTAATAAACATATGACTTTTAAGAATTTTTGTCAATGATTTTATAATACTAGAACGGTACTCGCACAATGCAACGAGATATATCATGATTTAATGTTTCATTTTATTTATTTTTGTCTCAGTCGATGTTATAATACGATTTGTATGTGGTTTTGAGAAAACGATAATGTTTTTATTTTTGAATAAATATAAATATAAAGATATCATAAAAGTTAAAAAAAAAATTGATACTAGTACCAAACTAACTATTTAATTTTTTTTTATATTTCTTTAATTTATTTTTTATATTTTTGGTTTAATAATATAATTTTTATAAATATAATAATTAAATATTATATTAGAACTTAATGATTATCTTAATTATATTTTAGATTTTTTTATATTTAAAATGATATGTTCATCTGCAGTTAGTCAGACGAATTCAAACATGAAACTTTAGTAAGTTGTATTTAGCCATAATTTATTTGTAATATTGAATTTTAAGTAATATGCATTAATAAACAATACTTCATTCATAATAAACGGTTTTTAAGAGTTTTTGTCAAATGTTTTATATTATAGTATAGACAATATAAATATAGATATATTTAAAATTGTAAGTACAAAAATAAAAAGTGAGTTGCATTATTTTTATAGAGAAAATCTCAGTCAGATAAACTAAAACCAGCAAATGACAATTAAGAATTCAGAAAAAGACATTTCCTCTTCTTCTTAATAATAATAATAATATTATTATTATTTATTTAGATGATTTATTGATAAACAAAAAAGGGTACGAGAGAATCATATGCACCCCCCCTTCATTCAGTTCTTTCTATGAATTCCCCTCTTTAGATCTTAACCCATTAACACCCTCTTTCTTTCTCAATCAAAACCCCCCCAATTTCATCTTTATCCCACCAAAAATGATGGATTTGATTTCATGTTACAGTCAATATGCCGTACAGGTGTCTGAATCGTCGTCATGTTCAAGTTATGCATCTGCTCCTTCCTGTATAGTTTCACCTAATTTGATCTCATCCACCCAAACCGCCGTCTCTTGTTTATACAAAACCACCCTCTCCACCGGCGAAAACCACTTCATCACCGTCACGTGGTACCGGAACGCCACCATCCAAGGTCTCCAGATCAATACCGGCGAAGACTCCACAACCGCCTTCCGTCTAAACACGCATTCCAGGCTCTTTCGTAAGAAAAAGGGCAGCAAATCCTTTGAAATCAACGGTTCAAAGTTCGAGGTTTACTATGATCTGTCATCGGCTCAGTACGCCGCCGGTGCCGAGCCGGTAGAAGGGTATTACGTTTTGATCATGGTTGATTCCGAACTCGGGTTGTTAATCGGAGACATGACGGAGGAAGCCGCCGTGAAGAAACTCAAAACACATAAACAGATCGGGAAATTCTCTTTGCTTTCCCGGAAGGAACACTTCTCCGGCAACACCCTTTACGCCACGAAGGCCCAGTTTTCCGATACCGGGAGTTGGCATGACATTCTGATCCGTTGCACCGGAGAAAACGACGGGTTGAAGAACCCAGTTCTACTGGTTTATATAGACAAACGGGTCGTGATTCGGGTCAAGAGGTTACAATGGAATTTCAGAGGGAATCAAACCATATTTCTGGATGGATTATTGGTGGATTTGATGTGGGATGTTCATGACTGGTTCTTCAACCCAGAATCCGGGTCAGGGTCGGGTCATGCAGTGTTCATGTTCAGAACAAGAAGTGGTTTGGATAGCAGGTTGTGGTTGGAAGAGAAGATTGTGAAGAGTGATGATCAGAAAAAAGGATTCTCATTGTTAGTTTATGCCACCAAAAGCTAAGTTCACAACCCTCTTGTTATTTTTTATGAAATTGTTTCATATAATATCATTTTTTCAAGCCTAATATCACCCCCATAAAGTCGTAGCCAGTGCAATAAAAGTTGCACACTTACAAAAGGGATAGAGATCGTTTTCATCATATTTCTCTCTTGGGTTTCATATCGTTCGCTCAATCTTTGAAGATTTATTCGCGTTTTCTTTTGTTCGTATTTAGGTCCATCTGTGTCCTAGTGGAGTAGTGGTCCATTGACGGTACATTGTAAGCTATCAAGATCAAACGGCTAGGCATTTGTTAAAGATTATAATCTAGTTGTATGATCTATCTCCAATAAATGAAAAACCGAAACTCTTCCATCATTGGGGGTTTCTTGAATTCCAAATATATTTATTCTTGAATCATCTTGACGTTATTTGGTTACATGTTATAATCAGATGCATCGGCTCTCTTTACAAACTCGGATGCTAAACTGAAATCGTCATAGCAGTATGCATCAATAAACAATACAAGATATCAAATTTGGTTAATATGAAATGGGATATTTAGAATCTTTGGAAGGGGGGTCAATTTCTTATTGTGATAAAGATTGTTATTTGGTGGTTAAAGTGAAAAGAAGAAAGGTATAGGAGTAGGAGGGGGTGTGGAGAATCTAATTTCAAATATGAATTGGCTTCAAAGTTGCAAGTTTATCCAACTATAACTTTTTTTTTGCAATTTGGTCCCTGGTTTTTCTCTAGATTTCACCTTTTGTATTGATGGTGGTACACAAGTTACATTTTAGTACAAACATGATACAATATTTGATGCATAAGGTGCAACACATCTTCAATTGTTTTATTATTATTATTATTATGGGTTTTTGATTATTTATCATGTTTCAAGATGCACAAAATCATAATTTTAGATTTCATTCTTTCACTTCATTGATTGATAATAAAAAGGGAAATACAAGGATGATGTTTGATTGGTTTGAGTTTGAGCTCCAATAGTTAAAAGTGTTTCGAGGTCACAAGTTTAAATCTAAGGAGAAATGAAAATCCCCTTGTAGCCACGGAGGTTCAAATGTGATCACTTCAGGCTACCCGCAAAACAGATGGTTACCATGGGATTAGTCGGCTCACATAGCGGGTTGGATATCCAGGTTAATAAAAAACTAAAGTGTGCATTAATTAATGTCATTCAGTATAAAATAAAGATAAATTAGTTCAAATGACCATTTCCTTTATTCAAATCTAGGTTCGCAATATACTAAAAGACAAAAAAAAGGTCAAATATAACCAGTTTATTGTCGCAATTGCGAACTTGGCCGTCGTAATTGCTTATCTAGCCATTGCAATTATATATCTGTGTTGAATTTGATTTTTTTTTTGCCTTAAGCTTGGTCCGTAATTTTGCAGAAATAATGACATTTGAATCAACCAAAAAGAGAATTGATTAGAAAACCAATTTAAATGAGAAAAATGGTCATTTAACTCAAAAACTCTAAAATGAAGCTTTGAAATCAACATGTATATATATATATATATATATATATATATATATAGAAAGAGAGAGAGAGAGAGAGAGAGAGAGAGAGAGATGAGCGATCAAATAAAAATCACTCCAATTTGTAAAAACCGTAAAAACTACTCTCACTCGTCGTTAATCTTATAAATTTTTTTCATGAAATTGTTAATCTTGTGAAATTGTTCCATATAATACTTTTTTTGATAAAGTTGTTTCATATGTGGTTATGAAATTGTTTCATATACTACTTAATGAAATTTTAATGAAATTGTTTCATGTATTTCTCTAAAATTAAAATAATGAAGATGATAATATCCATGATTAACACCCTTCATAATAAAAATGGTTAATCAACCTCTCATAATTACAAAAAAATGAACAAAATAAAAAATTATGATTGGTTGAATGAGGTTTTCACGGTTTTTACAAATTGAGTGGTTTTTATTTGAACTCACCCCTATATAGATATATATACATACATAGGGGGAAGATCAAATGTTAACCAACAATTTTGTGTTAACTTTGAAAACCATGACAACCAATCAAATTTCATTCTTCTTATAGGTTATGTCATGTTCACATTTTAATTACAAGGATATTTCAGTAAATTTATTTGATATGTAACTCCCAAACAATTAATAGGGAGTTACAAATCATTAAATCCCAAAAAATATGCATTTATAATATTAATATTTTTATTTGTTTTAATCTTGATATTCCATGTTTATTGTTTTATTAGTTTTTAATTCGCATTAGAAAAACACGACAGTAAAAATTTTCGGTACCGATCAAGCTAATATGGATAAACGCAATGGAAAATAAATCGACAACAATTATAAGATTAAAATGGTTTATAATGACAATCGGAGTTCGAGGTCGGGAATTGAAGAAATTAACAAAAGCGAATGTCTTAGTAATATATTTTTATTTTTTTAGATTCGTTTTAATTTGTGTTGTGTTTTTTATAACTCATCATGTATTGATAGCTTTTTTCTTTAATTATTAAAATACGTACCTAATTCACATGTTCAAATGGAAGTACATACACGACCCATTTTCATATTGCCATATTACCAACTTTTATAAATCATGAACCATTGTGTTCATGTTACTTCTATCATATGAACACAAATGTTATTTTTAAGCTTGATACCAATTCTTTATATTTTGTGTAAGTGTTTGCACCCGGTGTTCATAGCGTTGGGGTTATGTGTTCATATATTTTATACGATATGAACAAGAGGTGAACACAATATGAACAAGGGGTGAACAATCATATAAAATCAGAAACATATATGAACAATGGGAGAACCTTAAACGGTGTGGATGCAATGCATGTATAAAACTCCAATTGACAAAGTATCGCTCTTGAATGCGTTTATAATGAAGGAACTATTGTTCACAAGCTGTTCATATCGTGTTCATACCTGTTTTTTTATTTATTTCCTTTCGTGTAGCAGTTATTCTTATTGTGTTCATAAATGCTATGCAGTCCAAGTTCATATATATGTCAAATTTTTTGTTCGTATTTGACATAATGATTCATATATATATAGTTGTGTTCATATGGTTCTTACATTAACAAAAAAATCATAGAATTTTTGATTTTGTAACTCCCAATTAATTAATGATATGAGAGTTACATACATTTTTTTTACCTAAATACCCTTTTCAACATTGTTCACTTCTCTTTATGCAATTTTAAATTTAAAAAAATAAGTTTTTACCATGATTAATCACAACCGTTTATTGAAAGATTGAACGGCCAAGATCGGTTAACAAAGTTAACACAAAAAATTTGGTTAACATTTGATCTTACCCCTACATACATACATATATATATATATATATATATACATACATATATATATATATATATATACATACATATATATATATATATACATACATACATATATATATACATATATATATATATATATACACACACATATATATAGAGGATATATTGGCATGACTTGGGATCATGTGAGACCAATGGTTTTTCGTGAGACCGTAAGACCAATTCTTAACCCTTAGATGAGATCTACAATCGTCAGATCTGAACATTCATAAACGCCACGAGACTTTTCAATAATTACAAAATTGTCACCGTATAACTTTAGACCACTAAATCATTAGCTTATAAAGTTGATCAGTGAACATAAATTCGTCTCACGTGTCTCACGAAAAACTCTGGGTCTCACGTGAATCCAACCCTATATGGCATAATGATAAATTGTATTAAAGAGGGAAAATATTTTTTTAGTGAATTTTATGATGGATAATATATATTTCAAAAAGTGATTATAATTTGAAGAATGCGTATTGTTAATAGCTAATGTTTGGAAATAGGTTTTTTAGAAGTAAAGGGTTTTAATACGCTAGTGTGTATGAATAAGATTTCTTTTAATAAACTCAGCTAATTTATTATCACGCTTCATGTGAATGTTGCTCGAGAAGATGGATTATTCGAGAATAATCAAACCTTAGAGAATAATCAATAATGGACAAACACATATCAAGTGGAACCAAGCAAGTTTCGAAAAGGATCCATACATATCTAGTCAACGTATAGATAGGTTCATAGAATTATATATATAGATAGATAGATATATCCATACATATCTAGTCAACATATAGATAGGTTCATAGAAATATATATATATATATATATATATATATATAGAGAGAGAGAGAGAGAGAGAGAGAGAGAGGTGAAAGTTCAAACGAGAACATTAACTATTTAATGTCGTTAATGTATAAAATCACATGTGATTTTACATTAACGTTAAAAAAAATGGAAGCAGACGACTTTTACTAATACCAAATCGCGACGAATCACATATGATTTTATATGTGAATCATATATGATTTTGTACGTTAACAATTTTTTTCTTAAATAGTTAATATTTTTGTTTGAATCTTTCTCTATATATATGTGTGTGTATGTATATATGTATGTATATGTGTGTATATATATATATGTGTGTGTGTGTAGGTCTCTATATAGATAAGTTGAGTATTAGAAAAATAGTCCTTCCAATTTTCTTAGCATCCATGTGTATTCAATATTTTTTGTAATTTAATTGACACGGTTCAAAAACTAAGATCACACACAAGCTTGTAAAAGCAAGTCCGTGACATTATGGTTTCCAAACATACCTTAGCCCTTAAGCATTTAAAGGGATGTTAACCAAATGTTTATTGGGTAAGTACTTACTGACAAGAGGCATTAGCCTTGCTTACATTATCGTGTAACATTCTCAACTATCAAAATTAATTGTTGTTAAGCGTTTTAAATCTGATAAACACTTATCGGGTAAGAGCATTTTCCCTCACTTACCAAATAAAACTTTCGATCTTTGCTATGCATCTTATTGGATATAATTTTGTGTCTTCCAGCTTTGATTTTGTGGAATAAAAATTGTAAATTATAGAAAATAAGTTGTACCACTTATTAGGATGAAGATATGGTTTAATATGAAGAGAAAGGTAGTTGTCCTTGAATTTGGACATCAAGGGGTCTTTGTGTCCTCTAATAGGACAATATCCCGTGCCCAACAATATATGTGACTTTGGATTTTTTGTACGTCCTTCCATTATGATCCATCCGTTATACCAACTTTGTCTGTAGACAACCAACGAATTGATTTGTGAGTGGATGTTTTATTTGGAACATGATGTGACAGTACGTTATATTAAAAGGTATTGAAAAACATACATATCTTATTAGATAAAAACATAAAAATCCGATAAGATAAAGTAGAGTGTCATTTAACAAGAAGACAATAGAATATTTTATGAACTAAATTCAATATTTATTTAATTTTTATAAAAAAAACGTGACATTTTTTTACAAGAAGTTAACAAAAGTATTATTGTCTGGATAATGTTCGATTACAGGTAGAGTCCAACCTCTTAAGAGTCAAAGGCTCATGTTTAATCTAACGTGATAAGTGTTTACGAGTTCTGTTATATGTAATTAACCCATAAATTTTGAGAATTTTATTTTTATATGCACATATAAATCATGGAGTAGAGGCCCATTAAATAAAAATTATTGGGCCAGTTATATTGATAAGCTATTTGGATGGGCCGAATGACATTCATAATTACTGCCACTGGGACGATCTTTACAAAGCCCAGATTGGTTTTAACACTCCTTCCTCTTTTCATTTCACTCTTTTTTTTTGCTTTCTTTCTGTTTTTAATGTTTTTTAGAAATGCAATTGATTATAATTTGGGACGATCTTAAGCATTCTCACATGAAACCCGTCTTCAAGGATCGAACCCGGGACTATATTGTATTAGTAAAAATACAAGTTCGATAACTAAAACTAAAAATACTTGAAATCATAGACATCTTCCAACATGATAAAAAAACGCGACAATGTTTTAAACAAAACCAGAAATACAAATATGAAGCCTTAAAACCTTACAATTAATCATTCATTCTTTTTTCTTAATATCATAAATAGATTTTAATTAATAAATAAATAAAAAAAAGAAAGAAAGAATTCAATTTAAATTAAATTTTGACAAAGGATTCAATTTGTTTGCTGATGTCTTCAAGTTTCTTGGTCCTCATCCTTTCGCTTTCAGTAACCAACTGCATAAAACAATTTATAGTAAATTATTTATTAATAGTTTGAAGAAATAAAATAAATAATAATAATAATAAAATACCTCCATTAATCTGGTAACTAGTTGACCTTTCTCCTTGTTTTTGTCATTGAAGGCCTCCACAGCTTCTCTATATTCCTTTTCCTGCAAATTATAACATTAAATTTAAATAAAAAATACAAAATAAATAAATAAAAAAAGAAAAAGAAATATGAAATAATGATAAGGTGTGACCTTTTTATGACAATTTTGTCCCAACGACTTTAGTTCTTTATTGACCGAGTCAACCTTCTTTCTTACAATTGCCGCTTCCTTCCAACTTGGATCCTCCAGTGCTTCAAGACCCTACACTCCCATTTAATATTACGTTTTTCATATTCCTATGCTTTCTAATTTTTTTTATGGGTTTTTCCGTTACGATTTGAAATTTTATTTCTTTTTTCGTCCCTGTGGTTTATAACTCATTTCTATTTTATTTCCTCATACTTGAAAGTAATATTTAGTTTCAAAGACAGAGATAGAAATGAATTGCAAATCATAAAGAAGAAAACAATAATTTCAAAACCACAGGACGAAAAACATAACTTACTTTGCTAATAATTATATTTTATACCATTTTAAAACTAAATACCAAATAACCCATTGTTTGAATTTAAATCTGTTCTTGTAACAAACATTAAAAAAAATGCTTCTGGTTTCCAAATAATATATATAGGTAGATTTAAATGAGAACGCTCACTATTTAAAAAAAATAAAAAAAGAATCGTTCATGTATAAAATCATATATGACTCACATATAAGATCATACATGATTCGATGCGACTTAAGTTGCAGCAAAACACACACACACACACACACACACATATATATATATATAGAGAGAGAGAGAGAGAGAGAGAGAGAGACTGTTTCAAATATAATCTAATATTTGTTACAAACCTACAAACCAATTTTTTCATATATGAAACAACACATGTAAAACATGTATTGTTCATACATTGTTGTTTCATATATGACACTTTCGGAACTATTTTGCATGTGTAAAATACATCAATATATATTTCACATAGAAGCATACACACACAATGACAAAGAACTTGAGACAATATGAATAATAACTTAAAATCAAGCGGCTTGTATTGGTTTTGAAGACCCATGTGATTTGAGCAAAGAAATAATGATGAACCCAATTGTTAAAATTGAATAAGTAACAGATGAAAAAGTATTTGCTTACATTGCGAATTTCGACCAACTTTTTGGTTTCTTGTTCGACACGGCCTAACTGAGCCTCAACCTTTTGCTTCACCGCCATTTTCTTCTGTGTGATCTCTTCTTCTTTAGCTCGAAAAGCAAACAAGGCGGATCGAGATAGTTCATCATCACAGTCGATCACGGGGCTTCCATGACTTAGTCCACAGCTCTTCATTCGAACCATGCTTTGCGCTTGTTGTTGTTCTTGATCCAATAGTGTAGGTTTGCTTGACATCTTTGCAACTATGAAAACACCTTTAAATTAAAATGGCGGAAACAATGGCTTCTCTCCCAATGCTCAATCCTTGCGGGCTTTAAAATGGGCAGGAAATCTACAAGCTTTATTGAAATGAGGTGGAAAGTTCAACCTTATAAATATTAAAATCCAAAGTAATATTATTGATTATTTTTATTTTTATTGTTTTCTAAATCCATTTAATATATGCATCATTATTAGTACTTGATCAAATAATTTAAAGATATCGAGTTTACATCTTTTAGTTGATAACTTACTGAAACGTATCAAACTATGAAATCTTTATCTTTTTATTTTGTTTGATCAGATTAATGTTGATTGCGAAGTGATAGTAAAAACATTGTATTCAATAAAAGACTGTTTATTTACATCATTTTATAATAAATTTAGTGAAAAAAATAACATAACTTATAAATATTTTGTTGGGTATAAAAATAACTAAAAATTACGTTATTTCAATGTAGAAAATGATGTCGACGGTTCAAGATGCCTTAAAAGAAGTGATGATTAATTTGCTTTAAGAAGAAATAAAAAAGAAGTGGTGTAAACTTTGTTAAAGGAGTGGAAAACAAGGGCTCGCCTATGGAAAAAAACTACTCTAAATTCGTTAAAGCATACAATATATAATTTACTAATTCATGTATTATTGATGGTAATACATGTTTGTAAATAAAATTTAACTGAATAACTATTAATTAATCTGTTATTAAATGGAAATTTTTATCACACGTTGTTAACGTATCCATGATAACTTATTTGAAACAACATGATTTTTGACTTTTATTTGTTAATTTAATGTCAATGTAGTGACCACATGAGTTTGAAGCTTGTTACAATCATTTGCACAAAATCTCACTCCAAAGAAACCTAAACAGCAATGATGTTGGAAATAAAAATATGAAATCATGGCATTTGATAATAAGAAGTGAAACGCAAGAAGCAATGAAAATGTTTCAATATGTATTGTAGATAATGTCTACTTGGTTGATATAATTTCTATGGTTTTATAGACATATGGCGTTCTTTGAATTACTGATTTGTTAGACGATATATTTATTAACATATGGTCGATATAATATTTTCGATCCTTGGATTTATATTTATTTAATCATGCTTCTCAATTGTTGAAACTGTATTTTTTTTTTCTTTTTGAATTTTAACTAAGGATTGGTATCGATATACCTAAAAGTGTTTAATTAAATAATTCTGTTGAGTTGAGAATTGATGTTGGCAAACCTTTTCCTAATTTTAGGGTTATGGAATTATGTTCTCCTTTTGAGTTTGGTGCCAATTGCTGTCCACAACTCATTGGAGCTGTTTTATGTATTATTCAATTATGGTGCATTAAATCATTAGGAAACTGTTAGTTTCATAGATTTGGATCACAGTTTAACAGATTCTTTAAAATAAAGAAAATGGATTTTTGATTTTCTATATTGTTCCAATAGATTCTCTTATCTTATTCTCTAAAATAGAGAAAACTCTAAGGCTCGTTTGGTTTGTAGGAATGAAATGGATTTTGGGAATTTGAATTTCAAATCTATCTCAATCTCATGTTTGATTTGTTGGATTATACAAATTTGAAATTCTGGGATTTAATTGAAATCTTACAAACATAAGATTTTGAAATCTTGCTTGGGATTTCACAGGATTCCGTAGGATTGAATGAAATAAGGTTTTAAAAAATGTTAAAAACATTTGTTTTGTAACAATCGATTACTAAAAATGTAATTTAATTATTTTTATAATTATTTAAAAGTATATTTCTTGGTCGACTCACTCAAATGGTAGGAGAGCATTTATGTAAATTTGTAGATGAGACGTGATGGATGATGAAAGCATGAGGAACATCTTTAGCTTTGATGTTGCTATTTATTGTTTTTGTTGACACTTTTTTAACAATCATGTCTATAAAATTAAAAGACTTGGTTGGAGCATGGCTCTAACACTTGAACCGAACTAAACGTTACTTAGTTGTTATACATAACGGAAAGTTTAGGAAAATCCAACCAACTTTCTCGTTTTAGATAACTATGAACTGTTTTTTGGAATGAAAAAATTATTAAAATTTCTCAGAATGATAAGTATCTGAACATTTTTTGAGATAAATAAACAATCGAAATTTAAAAATTGGTTAGCTACTTAACCTATATTATTTAACCCAAGAAATTGTTACATGTAACCGGACCTAAAATGTTTAAAAGTAAAAAAAAAAATTGAATCAGTTTTACTGTTCTTAAACCTACATCATTCGAATCCTTTGCATATAACGACATCTGCCCTTGTTACTTCTCGTCACCCCGTCGTTGTCCGTTCTCTATAACCCATCGCCTTCGTCCATCAATCTTTGTCTTTTTGATCTATTTTTTTATGTTCTCCCTCTTTTGCAACAATTTTAATAAAGCTTGTATGGACATATAACAAGATGAAGAGTCGAAAAACAAAAAAACAACCAAAAAGAGAGACATTGATGGCAGTGACCAACAACGGTGATGGGTAGTGATAAAAAAAAATATGATAACGACACCAAAGGTTTGAATGACGTAAGATTTGGAAATGGTAAAATTGATTTAGGTTTTCTTTTACTTTTAAAACATTTCTAATGGATTTCAGATTAGCTTTTTTTAAGTTAAAATAATATTGACAATTAATTTTTTAAAATTCAATGATTTATTTATTAAAAAAAGTTTAGGACTTTGATTATTCACAATAGTTTTATTACGATAATTCAAAAATCTTCAACAGGATATATATATATATATATATATATATATATATATATATGATCACTTGCTTGCTCAACTTTCTTGTATTACATCGTGTACACTTTTAATACATATTTACAACAAAGATCAAATTCCTCAACTCTGGAAAAACCTTTTCTAAAACATGTCAAACACCAAATTCTCTGGAGCCATACTTCTAAAATCATATATTTTAGGAATCTCCGGTGGGGTCGCACACCGTATCAGAGCCCAGTTCAGTCCCTCGAAGAACGGATGCTGCTTGATCTCTGCAGCCCCTTTCAACGACCCTAACCTATTCTCCGGGTGCTTCCGCAGTAAACTTCTAACTAAATCTCTAGCGCTAGAACTCACAATCGGGTTATCAGGAAACTTGAGACCTTCAGATACCACATTTGCCAATGTGTCATCATCTCCCATGCCTTTAAAAGGCGTCCTACCGTATAAAAGCTCATACATTAAGATCCCATATGTCCACCAATCCACCGCACTCCCATGTCCTTCGCCTTTTATGATCTCCGGAGCCAGGTACTCATGGGTCCCAACAAAGGAATTGGATCGAGCATTGATGGGCTCCACTACTAGTTGTGGCACCTGGATAACTATATCAGATTTTAGCTTTGGTGCCACGGATGGAAGTCTTGGAGTGAAACATGGGACTTGCCAAGATGGTTGAAGACAGAAAGGATCTATGCAGCTGGACTCTGTGTTCTCGACAACAGCTGATGATGGTGATGGTTTTAGCAGTGTTGGATTAGGATCACATCTCAGGGACAAATCGAAATCCGTCAGCATGATGTGACCATCTTCTCTTACCAGGATGTTTTCTGGTTTTAAGTCGCGATACACAATACCAAGCATGTGCAAGTACTCCAAAGCAAGGAGGATTTCAGCAACATAGAACCTGCAAGCAAAACAAAAACATCATAAGATGAAACAACAATCATGATCACGAAGAAAGAAAACGAACAAAAACCTAAACTTTTACCTGGTTGCTTCTTCGGAGAAGCACTTGTTGGGCTGCTTTTGGCGTAGCACGTGCAAATCCCCACCAGGACAATATTCGATGACCAAACACGAGTATTTATCAGTTGTAAACTGGAAGAATAATGTAGGGAGAAACGGGTGATCAAGCAATTGCAATATCTCCCTTTCTGTTTGAGCCCTTGTGGCCTTTTTCCTAAGAGCCAATAACTCATTATCAATAATTTTCAAAGCAAAGAAGCAATTTGAGCCGATAAGCTCAGCAAGGTAAACAGCTCCAATGTCTCCACCTCCAAGCTTTTTGATCAACTTGAAGTGTCTTATATGCAAGCTACCATGCTGCTTCTGAGCGGAATAAACAGCTTCCCATCTCAAATCTTTTGACATGTGAGGCCGACACCCACTTCTGTTAACACCACTTAGATTGCTGTCACAACTGAAGCTTGTGCTACTGCTGCATTCACCAAGGCTGCTCTTTGAGCTCTGAGATAACTCCCCCTTTTCTCTTGGTCTTAATTTGTCATCAGCTTTATTAAAAACTGTATTAGGTCTTCTCTTAACTTTCGTAATTAAAGCTGGTTTGCTAGCACTTGAATCCATAGAACTCGAACCATCTTCAATACCAACACTTGTACTGCCTGATGTGGGAGATGTTTTCTTCAAATCCGTATCCTTGGTACCAGCACCTTTATTAAATTGATAATGAGAATTGCTGGTGCCAGAAACTGAAGCTAGTTTGTTTTTCTTACTAACAAGATTCTTGTTCCTCAAAATAGGCTGCATCAACTTGGCTGCAGACCTAGAGCTGGGGAGAAAAGATGAAGAATCTAACTTGGATTTCTGATTGTTTTCTTGTCCGACTGATTCACCTGATTCAACTGAGGCAGGTATAATTTCGTCTACCACAGGGAGTTTCTTTCTAGAACGAGTGGATAAAGCAGAAAGTTTCAGCTTAAGGTTTCGAGTCTGCCCCAATTCCGTCACTGAAGTTCTACTACCAACTTCAGAGGGAGCAATGGAACTGGTAGTGGGATTATCCCGCTTGTGTAAAGATATGGGTATCTTTGCAGGAAAATTCGATGCTGATATTTCTGGAACAAGGGATACTTCCACCATATCTCGATGACCTATGTTATAATTAACCTCCTCTCCAGCTGCTATCTGTGACCTTTTGACAGGTCCGGCTTCCGAGCCACCTGAAAACCCTGTTGGCTTTGACAACCTCTTCATTGCTGCCATTTCTGATGCTTGGGAGATGCTCAATCCTCTCAGTGCCTGCTTCAAACTAACAGGCTCTGAAATTCCAATTCCTGACGCTTGATACAAAGCAACCCTCATTGGTCTTTTCATGGATTTCTTCTGTTCATCTCTAAGAACTTGTGGGAACCCCTTATTCTTGGTAGAAATTCTAATTGATTCAAAAAGCCGGTTAATGTCATCCTCTACATAGAACTTTTTCCCACGCTTACTAGATTCAAAATCTGAACCTTCTTCCAACTCAACAATTTCCCCAGTGCCATGAAAAGTGCCCATGTTGATAGATGGGTTACAATACGTAGAAATGCTGTTCTGGCCTTTCAAGTGTACATCAACCAATTTCTAGCAAAGCAATTCGAAAACACAGGAGGGTATCAGAGAAATCATTGCTCATCCTGGAGGCCATCTCTGATCATACCGTATTTAAAGAGTGAGAACACCTCCAGATCCCTTGCCTCCTTGCAATTTGAAAGCTTGGTATTCTGTCACAATGTTCAGACTTCAGAAGAAGAGCAATAATCTTATCTCAAGCAAATTATAGAAGCACCATTCCTAAACAATTTGTTAGGAAATGCATTGCAAGATACATCACTAGAGATTAAACATATCTGTATAGAAAATATCATAACCCTCCAACTAATCTGCAATCGAGCAGAATGAGCAGTCGACTTTATAAGTTATAAAAATTCTGAGGCTGTCTCGTAATAAACTTGAAGGGGAAATAAATTGTGATGCCATGGGATGCAATTGTCAAATGAAAACTTGAATTCCTTGAATCAAGGAACCAATGGAGCATCAAATAAAACCTAGACAATGATTCAGCTCATGTTTGTTGTTGAGTAAAAATCAGACTGAAAGAAGCATATTTAGTGATTTAACATTTTCATCTTGTTTAACTGAAAGCCACTACTATTGCTTGAACTCTGAATTGGTTTATAATATTATTTGGGGTTTGAATTATGCACATACGACAGCAGATTCCAGATGATGACTTGAGGAATCAATTTAACTTGCAATTGAAGCACCAAACCCTCTCCATCCCCAAAAATTGGAACATAAAAAAGGGAAGAAAAACCTGGTGATATAATATAAACACCGTCAACAACCATGTGCCCTGGAAGCATTAAATATATTATATTCCCTATAATAATCAAAAAATCAGAAACCCCTACAACAATTAGCAGCATATCATTATAAATTTGAATAAGGGCAAGCAGTAGTAGATAAGAAAATCCAGAGATTCCATGGATTGGAAAAGACGAGTATCCTGATATATAATACATGAAAGAGCAAAAGAAGAAGAGTAGTTACCTGAAAGAGTGAATTGGGGATGAAGATGAAGATGAAGATGAAGATGAAGATGAAGATGAAGATGAAGAAGATAGAAGTAGGGCTGATGGTGTATGAAATGAAAGGGGGTTACAGGGTTAGGGCACGAGAGAGGGAAGGGAAGGTAGGATTGAAATTAAATGGAAGAAATATGGATGCAAATCACGAGAAGTTTCACTGTTGATTTCCTCCTTCCAATTTGGCGGATTAAACCTTTTCTTCATTTCCGTCTCTTCTTTTTCACATTTAAGTATCGTAAAATTTACAACTCTTTCTCGTTCTAAAATAAATGTTTATAATAAAAATTACATATAATTTCTAACATATGTAATTTATACACATTTTCATCTTTGATAATAAAGAAAAAAAAGAATTTTATATTATAATTTTCTTCACTGAATGAACCTGGCAAGGGCTAAGAATCTTATCCGGTAAGAACGATAATAAGAATGGAGAGTCTTACCCGGTAAATGAATGTTATGATTCTTACCCGCATAAGCGCTTACTAGATAAATTTTGGTATAGCATACGTTTTGATATACTACAATTTTACCCAATAAAATAAATTATAGTGTTGACCTTTAATGTTAAGTACTTACCGGATAAACATTTAGGTTAACAGTCCCTTACTTTTTAAAATGGACACAATAACTTAAAATAAGAATATGGATATTTTATTTAGGGTGGAGGGAGTATAATATTGTTATTTATTTACAAGGATATTTTATAATAATAAAAAAATAATAAACAAAAATATATCTAGAATTTATATGTTGGTGTAAAATTTATTATCATTCATTAGAATAAATTTATTATATTCAACAAATTTTACAAATTTAATGTAAATTTTAGTGTAACTCATTGAAGATGTGTTAAACTCGTACATTCTTGTAAAGTCATATTTATATCAAATCTTTCTATAAACGTTAGTAATTTTTAGTTAACCATTTTTAAAAAAAAATTATATATTAACAAAAGAAAACAACCCAAAACAAGAAGGTTCAAGCTTCTACAAGAGGTAGAAGCACACCCCCTTGTTGGTCCCGAGGGACAGAGGACGCTGGGTTAGCCGAAAGATGGTTATCGGGTTAAGAATAACACAAACCAAAACTATATACGGTAACTTGCAAAAAAAACAAGTCACAACACCAATGACACCCAAAACAAACACAAGCCACAAGAAAAACACATGAACCAACAAACTGAAGCAAATTAACCAACAAACCACACCCGCTACACCAATCCGGCCAAGAAACGCTAAAGTTCTTCGCATGCTTGGAGATCCGGTTAAACGATAAGAGTTGGAGATTAAAAAACCGATCAATTTGATGAGCAGAATGTTGAGAGAAAACTTGATCGTTAGGATGCAACCAAATAGAATAGAGAGTGCACAAAACCGCTGGCCTCCAAGGGGACCTATGAGCAACCAGGGCGGTAAGAGATTATCAGTAGACGAGAAGATTATCCAACGTGGTTGCTGATGAGAAAGACCGACCCTATCATCGAAATATTTTACTTCATAAATGAAAGCTCTTCGGACACTTGATAAAGCAGTGCTTGATGCACTCGATTTGCTCTTCGCAACAAGGGCAAATAAAAGAATGAAGTTTTATGCCTTTGTCATGCAAAACTTCACGGACTTCTCATTCGGTTAATTAACTATATTTTTGGAATAATCGAAATATAATTTATATTTTCAACAAAACTCAAATTCAATTTAAAAATTTACAATTTAATACATATATTTGTGTTACATCAATAAAAAAAAATTATGATATAACATGGAGAATTACCAATAACAATCTAAGTTTGAAGAATAAACAATTATCATAATCTATTATACATATAATCGAAAATAGATAATTGCATAACCAATAACCTTAACCACGATGCTTTCTCTATTTTTAAAAACATTAAAGTTGTTTGCCGGGCGGTTGACTTTTAAAAATTATGATATAACATGGGAATCTTGAAAATACAGAATTTCAAATAAAACTTGGAAAAAATATTACAAAAGAAATACTTCTTAACAACCTAATATGAAAACGTTGAACAAATAAACCACTCAACCTTAAATGATTATAACAAAATTTGTTATAAAGCATTAATATATATATATATATATAATATGAAAATAATTTAATATCTTCAGGTTTTCAGGATGGGTCTTGATCCACGTGTATGAAAAAAAGAAACATTTTATTTTATTTATATAAAGTTTTATATTTAAAATAAGAGAGATTACAATTAAAATCGTCAAATTAATGAATAAAAAACTTAAAACAAAAATATCTCATCTATTTAAATTAAAGAGCAACCTGCAATGCATTAAAATTTCAATATATATTATGTCATTATTACAACAAACATATTAGAAGTTGTAATTAATTTTATGGCCTCTTCTTTATGATACGTATTTTTATTGTATTTTATACATAAAATCAAGACCAAATTTATTTATTTTTGTAAAATGACAGTGATTAAAATGGTAAAAAAATTTGACGGTAACTGCTCATTTTATAAATTTGTATAAAACAATGACCAAAATAAATATTTGGTATTTCTTCTCTTTTTAATAAAAATGAAATCGAAACATGACACGACTTGTGAATGGTGTTATTATTGATGGCGATAAAAGGAGCCCACAATTTTAAATGTTTTATAATGATAAGTGTTGGATTACATCAAGAATAAAAGTTATGATTAAAAATTGAGAAAAGATTTATATTCTTAAATCAAACCTAATTGAAAAAAAAATATCAATGAGATACACTAGATCAATTATCTTTTAAATTGCATTTTATGGATTATTTTTGGGATTAAAAGTAATAAAAAATTCAATTTTTTTTCTTACACTTCCCATCTTGACTATATATTCTCACATGATCTTTTGTCCTAAATGACAAAATATATAAATTGAATAAAAAATGGACAACCATTGGGGAATTCGGGTCGGATTCCCATTAAAATAAAAGTTACTATGAGAAAAATAAAAAAGAGACTTTCACCATCTGATCGATTCTAATTGAAGATCAACATCAATTTGGTGCACCAGATCAATTACTATGGTAAACAAAATTCATGTGGTGAGGATGAAATTAAAAATGATCAATGGTCCAAATTGATTCTTACATTTTTTATCTTAACTTTTATTTTTACATGATCTTTCATCTGAATAATGTTTCGTTAATAGTTAAAAACATTAAATCAAATAGACGAAAGATGTATTACACTCAAATGAATTAATCATGGTACCTTCCCGGTTCAAATGAGAGGGGCCCGTAATATGCGGGTCGGATTGTATGTGCTTTGATTTCGAGTCTTGACATTGACTTTTTAGTCTTTGTCATTCAAAAGCTAATGAATGTATTAGACTAATATATTTCCTTTCTATACTTTTTCTAAATTTATTTATATTGAATAATACTTTTTTTATACGTTTTATTAAATTTAGGCTTCATTATGTGATTCTAACTATAAAGGATGTTCATCAGTTGAAATCCGATTAATTTAAATGAATCCAATCCAGTGTAATCATTCATTGGATGTTGGATTTTGTCATCAAATCCTATCCAACGGTTCCATCTGTTGTATATTATTACTGGATCAAATTGGATTCATTCGATATTCTGCTCCAATTTTCAACCAATTAATCATATATTTTCTTAAGTTATTATAAAAATTATATAAATATCAACTAAAAAACAATCAAATCCACTTTTATTGGGTAGTTATCAGATTGGATATATTCAATTTTATTGGATGATGGATTGACATCTAAGAGCCGACCGATCCAATTTGGATGTTGAACTTTTGGATCCGGTCCAATCTAATTACGTTGGATATCCGATTATGACCAGTCGTTTTAAATTGGATGAGATGATTTTCTGAACACCCCTACCAACATTCTAACACACAAATGTGCTCTTACATACACATGTGCTGACATAAATATAACAAAAAATTACCCAAAATAGCTAAAAGGTTCCCTCTGAATCACAAACGGCCACTATCGATCTGAACCACCGTCAATCTTAACCATTGTCGACCATCGTCATCTGAACCACCACGGACCACCATCGATCTGGACCACTGCCAACTACCATCGATCAAAATCACCGTTGGCAACCGCCGATTTAAACCACCACCGACCATCACCAATCTGAACAACCACCGATCTGATCCATGTCTGAACCACCGCCAATCTAAACCACCTTTGATCTGAACCACATCCGATCATCGCCAGATGAAGTACCACGGACCACCACCGATATGAACAACTGTCGACCACCAGCGACTACCACCTATCTGAATCACCACTAGACATTGTTGACCACCAACGATTTGAACAACCACCCATTTGAACCACTGCCGCCACCGTCGATCTGAACCATCGCTGACCACCTCCATTTGAACCAACGCGGACCACCATCGATCTGAAACACTGTCGACCACCGCCAACTAAACAAATACGGACCACCACCGATTTGAACCATCATGGACCACCATCGATCTGAACCATCATTGATTTATTAACGTCGTTTGGCTTATAGTTTATATTTGGGTTGTGTTTAAATAATTATTTTATTACAGTTTTTTTAGTTTTTAAAAAATTAAAATTTTCAAAATGAGCATTTTGGTCATTTACCAATATTTCATTACAATTTCAAAGTTACATTATGTAAATCAAACAAACAGATTCCAATTCTTTAACATATTGCATTTCAGTGTTTGTCAACCAAACATGTGGTCAAACCTGACAACATTAAATTATAATTCCTTCAAAATAAAATTCCTTTAACAAATTCTATTTCATCCTAAAATATTTTACGAACCAAACGCGACCATGAAAACTTCTCCAATTCTTTTGCAAACATCAATTTGATGTAAAATATAAAAATATCCAAACAGTAAAAACTTTAATAATATTATGATTATGTAAATGCAGAATAACATACCAAATACACAATAAAATACTAATAAAAGAATTATATTTTAAATAGTTTATGTGCAATTACTACGAACAAACAGGTATAATCATCGTTTTATATAATGAGCGTCTAACACAAAATTTTCAAATAAACAATAATTTTCAGTAACATTTACTTGAATCAAATCTTTTATTCTGATCAACACTTATCTAAAATATTTAGTAAACAGCTTCATTACTTTAAATATTTAATGATTAATTAAATACTATAAGATAGAGGTTAATAAACTATTCAATATTTAATTTAATATTAAATATATCAACAAAAAACATAAGAGTATAATGTTCATTTTTAATTGTTTAACAGACGACATAAAATATTTAGTAAACAACAATTTTCAATCAACATTTATCTGAATCATACTACTTATCTTGATCAGACCTCTTATTTCAGTCAACACTTACTCAGATTTTTTGGTAAACAGCTCATAAGTATTCAAAAATTGTGTTTCTTTTTTATTACAAACATACCTCTCCAATTTCCTTACAACTAATTCTTACCAATTATTTTTTCCAACTCTTTTCTATTTTTTCTTTCTCCACTCTTTCAAATTTCTTCAACCAACAACTCAATAGCAGTCCAATACAAGTAAAACCAGTTTCAAGATTTGCTATAAGGACATTTATAGAATTGTTGTTTCAAGATAATGAAAAATAATATTTGAAGTATGATATTGATCGATTGAGCATGATGTAAATATGTAGTTGTTCAATAGATGTATTTTCATATTCACATTAAAAATCAACAGAAATAAGAACAAAACTAGATTGTTTGTGTCTGCATTCAACTTCTCTTCAAACATTTTCATGTTATCATTCGCAAATTGAGTCTATATAAAATTAAGGATTGTTTTGGATTTCAGATGATATCAAAATAGTAACCCAACATATTACAAGGAAGATTGAGGCCCTAATAGAAGGCCCATAAGCTATTAGGGAAGCGAATTATAATTTTTCATTAATTTTAGAAGCTAATCAAGTCCGAGCCAAGCAACCAATGCATTTCCTTTTCATTATAATTTGTTTTATTAATTATGTTTCTTTAAAGTTGCCTTGGTCAACGAGTTTTTAACGGAGTCATGAAGAAATAAAAGAGCTTAGTGGATGGTGTTTAGGGTCGTGGGCTAGTCGCATTGGTAGTAGGATCTGTTTGGTTCAATTAACGAAAAATATGAGAAAACCATCACATATCATTCCCTTCCTCAATCTTTGCTTCTTTGGAGACCAACAATCTCGAATTGGCTGATAACAAAAACACCTAACATTCAACGAAAAGGCAACACGATGGTTGCATTAATTTCCCCCAAATATTTTTTAATTATGTATTTGACGTCATTAGCCTACATGCTAATACGACTAGTGACGAAATTGAGACATCCACTTCCAATTGCAAGCAACCAAATGACCAATTCAATGTGTTCCCCATTGCTAGTTTCTTTTAGAAGACTGTTATTCTATGTGCATCCGACTTAATTTCTCTTTCTTTTAACTGGATTGATAGTCATCCGACTTCAGTGGAGGTAGAACGCCCAAAAAGAAACATTTACCTACTACAAGGCTGGTGCAATCTTAGTTTTTTATTACTCTGAGTCCATAAAAAATATATCTTACAAAAACTAGATACAAAATAGTATATTAGGTTTAAATTGACTAATTTTGGCAACAATTAGTTTCTCAACCTTATTTATTTACAATCTAAGGAATAAAAATCTATTATGATACAATGACAAAATTGCCTGGTTTCCGTTCAAAAAAAAAAAAAAAATACAGACAGATCTAACTATAAGACTGTAACTATATGGAATATGTCCAACTTATGTTGATAAGAAGGGACATACCCAACTTGACAATTGACATAGTACCTAACGACCAAATAAATAGGGACGGTATTCGTATTATAGATACAAATAACATAATTATATGATTTTAGTAGAATATTTATCTGATAATTTTATATTATATTATATACTTTTGGTGGGTATCAAGTATTAATTTTCTTTATAGTTGAAAATTAATGGCCAATTGTTGAAGACCAATTCATTTCATTTATGAGGCTTACTCTTCGAATTTTGTGTTTTTTTAAATATAAATAACTATAGAAAAATAAACTATCTCAACTACTTTCATATCTATGACGGATTATATTAAATTTTACGATTAAATACCTTCTGATGTTCCTCGATACACAATCGAAATAATTCGTTTAATTGTCAATTAAATAAGTTAAATATTTCCTAAAAACAAGTTTTACTAAATATAAATATAAACAGTTAAAAAAATGGATCTATTTATTTATGGAAAAAATGTGGTATTTGATTATTTTGTACCTACTTGGGCCAGCCCAAAATTGAATGCTAACGACCGCCAATGAAGTCCCTAATTATTGGGCTGTTCAAGATGGCAAATAAGTTCCTTCCACATTTAGTTAATTTGCTGTATCTATTCTATACTATATTATAAAGCATTTGATAAAAACTTTTAAAAATCATTTTTGTAGTGTTATTTAGATTTTTGTAGACGCTAAATCAATATTTTCAACAACTTTAGAAGAACATCACATTATTCGGTATGATAATAATCCCCGTCTATTTTAAAAAGTTAATTCAATGGTCAGAATTTAAAAATATTATTGTTAACGTTCAATTTATAACAAGTAATTGTTATCGTATGACGGTTGTTTCATCTCATAATATCAGTATTTCTGTAATCAGATTGTAAATAGAATCGCATGGTGAAATATCGGAAGAAAAACATGTATGTTTTTTTAAAATGGAGACATGCCAAATAGAAGGAGACACACTATGCATGATGGCTTAACAAACATTGAACTCAAATTAAGGTGTGTTGTTAAGCTTCACAATTATTAAAACAAAAAGGTCACATGTCACACATAGCAAGGAAACACCCATGCCTTAATTCAAGCACTATGCCACACTACATATGATATTATTATTTTTTTAATCTCAAATTATTTATTTAAATATCATGTTTATTATAAATAAATTTAAATATTAGTTTGAATTTAGAATATTTTTTCTCTTTTAAAAATAGTTTATGAAGGGATGGCTACAGTATTTAATTATGGTAGACGAAAAATAAAAGTAGTTTAAATAAAAAGGGGGAGTCAATATCGATGTTGGATAAATTAATGTTGACAGGAACTAAATGAAATTGAATTGTGTTGTCCGTATTATATTCATTTAAATTACGCAAACGGTGTAATTTTTACCCAATTTCATATATATGTCGTATTCGAGATCTGGTATTTAATCTGGTAATAATAAGAATTGAGAAAAAAAAAATCAATACTTGATTTAACATTTATAAGTCAGCAAGATGCTTAAGAGATATCATCATATCAATAATTAACACACTTGTAATGTGAGTTTCATTATTTTCAAAATTAGACTAGAATTGATCTAAAAAAAGACTGCTAAGCGGTTGTTTACTTTTGACTTAATTAGCTTAATGGTTTGACTAACTTACTCACACAACTATATGTACTTGTTTTTTTGCAGATTAATAGTAAATGATCTGGCTTAGTGTGGACAACACGGGTGTGTTGTCCACACTAAGCCAAAAAATTGACTTTCCACCCCTGTTTAATAAAACACGCCTCCTTCATCTTGTATGCTTCCTTTCAGACATATGAAGAACCCATCTCACGTCAAGAAACAAGATCAAAAGCTCGAATCGCCCTTGAAGTCCTCCCACAGATTCAAATGAAAAATGAAAGAACACATCTCAGATTGCAGATTCAAATACTTAAATTACCATTGTGTCTCCTTCGTAATCATAATAAAACCCTAATATCTAATTTGACCCCCCTCCTCAACCTTAATCGAAATCCTCTTTATATTTACGTTCTTTGTTCATCACTCCCCAAACCTAATCGAAACCCTCATCTCTGTCATCTTTGAACTTGGGATTTTGATATATTCTTAGATTTAGAGATTTAAACTTGATTATTTGATTGAGAACTTGGTTTGATGGATTCACATAGGTTTTCATTGTGGTTTAGATTATTCATTAATTTCTTGTTGGTTCTTATGAACCCCACTTCATAGGTTCATATTTTTCCTTGTAGATTTTCATATGTTTTCATTGTTAGTCTATGTTGAAGTTTATCTGATGATTCGTGGGTAAAACAATCATTATTATCATTTAGACGGTTGATTCGAGAAAAAAAAAAGTAAATAACAATAATTTTTTCTAAATAGACAAATTTATCCATATAGAATTTGTTAAAAAAAACCCTTGAACATGGTGATTATATATAAAAACAAATACAAGGCAGTAATAGGTTTTTTTATGCTGGTTAATAGAAGTTAAACAAATAAAAAAAAATAAAAACAATAAATGAAAAACCGATCAAAATAGATAATCCTTTAACTACTTTCACTTTTGTAACGAATTTGCATTTTACAAATAGTTTAAAGAGAAAAGTTTTAAAAAACTTAATAGACTTTAATATTTAGAATAATTAACTTATTGAATATAATTTACGCAAATTCTTTACAGTGTAGTTCTGTTTTTCCAATGAAAATCAAATTTACATATAAACCCTCTTGTTAAAATAGTAATCCGGGGTTCATAAAATAAATTTGGGTTGGGGTCAAAATTTGATAATAAAATGAAAAATAAATGGAGATGAAGAGGTTCCCGACCCATCTAATCACCAATGGCTTATTAACAGGTGTGGGCCCAATATACATCAACCCCTCTTAAAAACAACACCTTCTTCCCTCACCTCTACCTCTACCTCTACCTCTTCCTCTTCCACTCCACTCCAATTCCATTCTCTCTCTCTCTCTCTCTCTCTCTCCAATGGAACCACCATGGATTGACGACCTCGCCGACGACCTCCAAAGCATTAGCTTCAACTCCACCACCACCACCGCCACCGACATCAACCGTAGCACCAGCTCAGGCTCCGAAACTACCTGGACAACCGCTACCTACTCCGCTCGCCACAATCTCTCACTCCCTCACACTAACAAACGCTCCGCTCCTTCCGGAGATCCATGTTGGGACGCAATCCGACAAGCAGGATCTGAATCCGGTGCTAATCTCTCCCTCACTGACCTCCGATTCATCCACCGTCTCGGTGCCGGAGACATCGGCGCCGTTTACCTCTCCGAGATTAAACGTCCATCTTGCTCCTCCTCCCCTGCACTTTTCGCCGCCAAGGTCATGAGTAAGAGAGAGCTAGCCAGCCGTAACAAGGAAGGCCGAGCCAGGGCAGAAAAGGAAATTCTCGAAATGTTAGACCATCCGTTTCTACCGACACTTTACGCGTCGTTAGAATCACCGAAATGGTCATGCCTTTTGACGGAATTTTGCCCCGGCGGTGACCTCCATGTTCTCCGGCAACGTCAGCCCTGTAAACGCTTTCCCGAATCCGCCGTCAGGTTTGCATTTTACCACCCCATTTTAAATTGCATGTGTTTAAACATGTGCGAGTTAGAATTAATTACAGGATCAAACCAAAAAAATACTTAATTGTTACAATAGGTTTTTTTAATCGTATTTTTGGTGTTTTTATAAAAAATTTAAGATATTTTTAAAATAAAATATCATATTAATTCTTAATATATGATATTATTTGAAGAAATGTCATAGATTTATAAAATAGTTTTTGAAAATGTCTTGTAAAATAAATAATATAACGTTTTATTTAAAAAATATTTGAAATTTCATAAAAACATGTTATAGACCTAAGTTTTATCGACTATTCTAACCAAGTTCTTTTAGTGCATTATACATAGAAACCAATCAAACCATCCCATCTACGAAATTAAAATCGACGGCAGGTAACGTATCATATGCCGTGGGACCACTGCTTGCGCATCATATATTCTTTAGACTGCTTCACACCTGATAATTCAGTTAAGTTAAACATAGTAAACCCCATCGAGTTCTGATGGGTAGTTAATGTTATTACACAACACAACATGCGCGAGTCCATGTGCGTTCGTGTGCATATAAAAAGGTCAAACTTTTTCCTACTGCCACGTGGGTAATAATTGCGCCACTAAGGTCCACGAAAAGAGTCTCGTTTAAATCAAAATTTTCAAAAATGCCATTAAGAAGTCAAACAGTCAAAGTGAGAGACAGGTAGGTTGGGGTCATTGAAACGTTGTCGTTACTGGCATTTAAAATTATTTATTGCACATCGGCGAGACGTAAATGGATGATTCTCGGTCGGGTAAGTTTGACCCGTAACCGGTTGCCATTAATGCTCATAACTTGAATTACTGGAAATTAAAATTACAAATATTTTTTTGTTTTTTGATTCAGGTTTTACGCATCGGAGGTGGTGGTTGCTCTTGAGTACCTTCACATGTTGGACATCGTTTACCGTGATCTCAAACCGGAAAATGTTTTGGTCCGATCCGACGGTCACATCATGCTCACTGATTTCGATCTCTCCTTGAAATGCGATCTTTCCGCCTCCACCCCTGCCCAGGTTTTCTCCGATCACAACCGCCCTAATCTGCCGTCGTCGACGGATCATTATGCCTTCGATCCACCCAAAGTTACGTCATCTTCATGCATTCTTCCTAACTGTATAGTCCCTTCAGTCTCCTGTTTCAACCCCAAGCGCAGACGCAAGAAGAAGCTAGGGAACCACGGAGGTCCGCAGTTTGTGGCGGAGCCGGTGGACGTCCGCTCCATGTCTTTTGTTGGGACCCACGAGTATTTGGCGCCGGAGATTGTATCCGGTGAGGGGCATGGTAGTGCGGTGGATTGGTGGACGCTAGGGATATTTATTTTTGAACTTTTCTACGGGATTACGCCTTTTAGAGGGATGGATAATGAGCTAACTCTAGCGAATATTGTAGCTCGAGCTCTAGAGTTTCCGAAGGAGCCTGTGATTCCGGTGGGGGCGAAGGATCTGATATCGCAATTGTTGGTGAAAGATCCGGTGAGAAGATTGGGGTCAACAATGGGGGCATCGGCGATTAAACATCATTCGTTTTTTCAAGGTGTGAATTGGGCGCTCTTGAGATGTACTACGCCACCGTTTGTTCCGCCACCCTTTAACAACCGTGAGGTTGTGTCGGATGATAGTTGCTCCGACACTCCGGTGGAGTACTATTAGCGGTGGGGTTATATTTTCCGGCGGCCAAACTTTGATCCTGTTTGGGTGGAATTGGCTTTAAGAATTCACACTGTGTACAGAATTCAAATTGACTGATTTGTGAATCTTGAGATCATCATGTAGCCATTATTTCATGGAATTTGTGATAGACGACTAGATTGAAAAATATATAAAATATTTTGTTATTTTTTTTGAATATTATTTATTTTCTCAAAACAAAGGGTTACAATTTTAAATTAAATATTTATATCCAGAAATAACCCTCTTAGCTACTTTTTATTTTATTTTATTCTCAATTAATAGAATTTATTATGGCACAAATTTGGTTATTGCTGTTGGTCTTACACAACCTCTCAATTAAATGCAACTAAATATCAACACTTGCAATCTATATTTATATATTGAAATAATTAGAGCAATATTTAAACTATAAACTAAGCTTTGTTTAACCATTAATAAATCTAAAGAATTCATATAGAAAAATATAATAAATAAACAATTGTTATATAATATATATATATATATATATATATATATATATATATATGAAGTTGATATTTCTTGTTTTATGTACTTGTCTTCATCTATTTGTTCAAACCGACATTAATAAACATATAAGCAAGTATAAATATGTCAACGAGCATGGGGCCATGGCGGCAAAGAGAGGTATGTTTGTGGTTGAAACGATTGAGTCGAGGACAGGGATCTAATGACGGAGGTGGCCACCGGTGGTGGTTCAACAATCGTCCCCACCATGTGAGTTTGTTTCCCACGGTGGTGCAATTGTGGGGTTTTAAGCATTTGTCATTTGTTTTATGTTTGTGAATACAAAAAACCACATTTCTTGTTCATATTAGAGCATTTTACCTTTTCAATACATTCGAGATTGATATATACTTTTTGTTCTTGCATATATTGTTTTACTACAGGTTTTGGTCATACTTTTGTACATATCTGGAGAAATCAAATACCCTTGATTGAGTTAAACGATTGCTGTAATAAAAACAACACAAATAATTGGACGATGGTCGATAATATCATATGATATGCCATCTCTAAATAGTAAATATGTTAGATGAATTTGTTAAGACCCATCAACAATTATTTACTTATGTAAAAGAAAAAGCATAACATTTATTACACATTTGTCTAACCATACTCTCCATAAGATGAGTTATTGCTGTATATTTTGCTAACATGTCTTGGTTTGCTTAATTAAACTAGAAATAAACTGGTAAGGTAACGATATCTCGTTTTCTTACCAATTACAAATCATCGTCACAACATCGTTACAACTGAATATAATATGTAGCAAATATTTTATTTCACAGAACCAATGTACTCGACAAACTTAAAACGCCTAGAAAGTCGCATGTTGCAAATACCCGGCCAACACAACCTTTTTATGTAACCTAAGAAGTCCATTTGCCAGTTGAGCTAACCCCACAGGTCTCACATTAAAGAGGAGTTGTTTGAAAGTTGAAAAGCTGTTTCAATACCACAATTTTTTGATGATGCAAAGTGCCTTGAGATTTAGATTGGCATTTTACATTATGAAATCTAAGGGTGATCCTAATAGAGTAATAGGTATGAGGGTTCAGAGAACGATGACGGTTAAAATGTAGTTGCCTCCTACAGATTACAAATAATATCTTCCGAGGTCACTTTGATGTTTGTTGATGTGCCAATTATTTTGTGTGCATGGATTTATGAGGTGGGGTAATCGATTGGTGACGACATTAAGAAAATGACAAATATCGGTCTAATGTCGATCATATAAGGTTACATTTAACTCGTTCTATCAAGCTACATAACAAGTCAGTACATCACCATATTGGATGAAGATAGATAGTATTTATCATCAAAAACTTCCAAGGCAATGGCTTATCTATGGAGCTCAAGTTGAGGTATACAGCACATCGGCAGCCACGTTTCAAAATCAACAAATTGAAGATGATATAAAACCATTAGCAGAACAAACTACTTGACTGAAAAAGCTCTGGAAACAAAATTCAACGTTTGAGGATAAAACTATGAAATCGCTACCAAAAAATTCATATCCAAAGATGAGACAAGAAAAATACTTGGTACCATGATCCTCAGTCAAACAAACTGAATCCCATATCCTGCAAACCATATCAATGAATAAACTCAGCAACATGTAACTAAAACCAGCTTTTTTGAACATAATTGAATCATAAATATGGTCTATAAGAGAGCTTACATCATCTGACTCCTCTTTCTCTTCAACTTTCTCTTCTTTCTTTGGCTCAGCGGCAGCAGCTGCGGCAGGTGCAGCACCACCACCAGCGGCAGCAGCAACTGCAACACCCCCACCACCAGAAGGAACTGAAGCCAACTTCTCCCTTCCAGATGCAATTAGTTCTGTGATATCCTTACCCTTGACCTCGGACAACAGCAATTCAATTCTGTCTTCATCGCAATCAGCACCCACTGCATGCCACCCACAAAGTTTCCAATATATAAATACAGATTTTCAGAATTTTGCAGCAAAGTGAGTACAAAAATCAAGTGTATAATAATCTTCTCCAGTTCCGATTCCCTATCGCAAAACATACAGTTTATGATGGTCATGGTTTACATTGATGCAACATTACCCCTCTATCACAAGGCATTTAGTTTTAGCAAACAGTGGAATAAAATATCATAACTTACACAGTAAGTTGTGAGCACATATACAAATCAGCATGAAGAGTAAAACTTAATTGCATTACTGTTGCATAGTTTATAATTTACTGTTTATCAAATTCAATCTACATTTTCAATTATGAAATGGTACTTGTAGCTAGATTGAAATTCAATCTACATTTTCAATTATGAAATGGTACTTGTAGCTAGATTGATTTACCTGAACCGAGGATGTTCTTCAGATCATTAGCAGATGGAGAGGTGTTACCGCCCAATAGAGCCAACAAGTATGCAGCCACAACCTTCATTTTGCTACACGTAACAACACCAGCGCGTAAACAACTAGCAAGTTTGCACTAAAATCCTTTTAAACTAACAAAAGTTAACAGGATTTTGATCCTAAAAAAGCTCTGAAGTTCTTAAATCCCAAAAAACAACCGTAAGATTGGAGGAAGGAATGGAGAACAAAATAGAGAGATGTGCGTTTTGACAATGATAGGTTTTCGCCTAGATCAAACCTTCGTATCGAAAGAATGAACCCAAATTTAGTGATGCATACTGCATAGGAAAGAAGAAGATACCTGTTAAATGTGTTACAGCCGCTCTGTAAATTTTGCGTGGTTTGTGCGTTAGGGTTCAGAGGCCCGCCTGAAACCCTAAACCCTATTTATAACTGTTAAAAACCGTGGTCCCTTATTCGTGGGCTTCGTGTGATGGGCTGGTCTACAGTTTTAAGCCCATTTACGTATCCACCTGTCTGGCTGTCTATACTCTAAATTTTAAAAAAAATGTCGGGTGAGTGAACACCAAGTCACATTATCTTACCAGATGAATATGATAAGGTTCAAGAATATTACCTGGTAAGAGCGAGACAAGGACCAAGAGTCTTACCCGGTAAGTGAGAGCGATGACTCTTACCATAGTAAGCGCTTACCGGATAAATTGTTGCATACAATACCATTTTGGTGGACTAAAATCTTACCAGGTAAATCAATGATAGTATTAAATTTTGCTAGTAAACACTTACCGGGTAAGTGTTTGATAAACGTCCCCTTAAACTAAAATCTTAATTCACTTCCGAATTCACATTTATAAAAGGTGGTATTAAAATTTAAAACAATAATCAATAATATTATTTGTTTTTAAAATTAAAAAGTAACTAAATGTTTACCTCTCATAATATAAATTATATTTTTACTCGTATATAATATATAACTAGAATGATACTCGTGCAATGCATCGAGACACGTCTTGATTTCAATGTTTCGTTTTATTTTCTTTTTATGTCGATATAATACGGTTTTATGTAGTTTTGAAAAAACGATAATGTTTTTATTTTGAATAAAATATAAATTTGAAAAATATATATATATCTATATCAGTATCAAATTAATCTTTTTAAAAGTTCTTGTGTTTTGCTATAATTTTCTTAATT